CTAGGAACATACACATCCATTTTTACTGCCTGGATTAACACAGTGCACAAGCCAGGAACGAAGGCCAGCTGAGTAAATAAAAAAGGACAGTAAATGACAGACATCAAGTATCCCCATCAATCGGGAGCGCAGCCATAATCTATAGTATTGAATGCACCTGACAACTCGACCTATCCTATAATGAAAAAGGCTTGAAGTGACCCTTCTCCGAAGGGACTAGCAGACTTTTCACAACAGCTTCACAGCTGGGCCGTTCTGAGACTTTCATTGCTCTGCCTGGCTTGGAGGGGAGAAGCTGGTGCAGGGAGACCTGTCACCAGCCCTTTGGAAAAGAAAAGCCAATCTCGAAAGATCATAGAAGAAAAGCAAATAGCTATTGGTGTCTGAGGAATGTGGTGCTACTTCATCAGCCCTGTCTTCAAGGTGCCTGCAAACCTTGATCTCAACAGCAGTCTGGGTGCCAGGCAGGGACTAGGGTGGCCATGGGAGTCCGCATCAGAGCAGAACTGCAAAACTAAATAATTCTTCTCTCTTTTTTCGTTTTATGGTTTTACAGGGAGGGAGACGAACGGGCGCTGGAGCTGCTGGTCAGCTTGGACCCCCTGCCAGGCTGGAACAAGGAGACGCAGCCGGCAGTGCAATAACCCAGCGCCGCAGAACGGCGGGGCACCGTGTGCGGGGAAAAGCGTGCAGACAAAAGCATGTTAACACCCACCGGGACTGGAGCAAGGCAGGGTATTGCTCTCTGCAAGTATACGGTCTGGTTTTGGAGCTTGTGCTGGGCTATAAATACTCTAGGCATAATTCTGCAATAGAATTACACCGGGGACAAATAATTGTGAAGTATTGCATTTACATTGCGTACATTTGAAGACATGGTGGATTCACTATATAAAACCGGAGTGCTATCCAGGCAAATTCCTCCGTTTGATTCAATACTTTCCTGCGTGCCCCCTTACTCTCACACCCCTCCAATTTAATAGCATCCCCACCAAGCACAGGGATGGTGGAGAATCACCCCCAGTGGTGGCATTGCTGCGTGATGGTGGGGTTACAAGTAGTCAAAAAACACATTTACTAAAACTGTTTACACAAGTAAGCTTCACTCGCAGAAATTTTTATATTTGCCTTTGGAAAATAAATTCAAAGCTTGTGATCCTTGCATTTTTATGGAGTTGGTTTTGACATATGCACCATGAAACTTTTATAAGTTGGCACTGTCGGATTTTAAAGCATAGCATATTGGGCAGGGCTGCATTTTCAGCAAAGCCATATGCTGAACTGTATGGGAGGAAGCTTAAGCCCAGAGATGCTCAAAAGTCATGGCAAAAACGTGATTCCAAACTGATGAGAATCATAAATAAATAAACAAATAATAAATAGGCAGACCCAAACAAAACCATTCTACAGAGGATGCTCACACACAAGTGAAGGCTATTCCTCTTTGCGATCAGTGATGAACTGACTATTAGAACAGAGGCGTTTTATCTCCAAGGCACCCAGAGCGGGAGAAGATGCTAAAGGGCTGCTTGATTTAAGGGCCTTTTTTGAATGTAAGACGTAAATCTCGGCACAGGAATACACACAGTATTGAACAGCATCTAGAGACTACAGCGAAAGCCCACAGCTCAGGGCTTTTAATGAACTGCCGCAAAAACCTGAGGTGGACAGAAAGCAAATGGCACTTCGTTTTACTGTGCTTTTCTTCACAAGGCGAGAAGAAAAAAGTGATGAGAAGGAATCTGGCATTCTGAAAAGCAACAACTGCAACTGCAACAAAACCTCAAAGCACAAAGAAGCACTTCTATATACGTGTGAATGGAAAGAGGGAGTAGAAAGGAATCAAGGTTTAGTGAAAGAAATTGCTCAGCTATAGCTCTGATTCTTGGAAATGCTTGTTTTTCAACAGCATGTCAGTGGTGATTTAGAGTCTGACACTTAGCTGACGTAAATCAGCCTAGTTCCTTCGGTGCAGCTGATTTATGCTACCTGAAGATCTGGCTCCATATTTTCTTTTGTGTGTGCGTTTGCCAAAAGACAATTTTGTCACCACTTCTTCCCCTTTGCTTGCAAAAAGGGACTATAGGCTCGTTCCTCATAAGAAAACATCCAGCCGTGTTGTCTTGAACATTGAGGTTTGATTCTTCTCTGGAAAAATTCCTAAGACAGATTTCTATGACATGGGCAAACGAGTGATAAAATTGTAGCCTTTTTGCCAGCCTTGCTTTTCCAGGCAAACATTATACTCATCCAGAGACGACCCTGCTCTCAAGGGCTTGATTCTGATGTCTTCCATGTTGGGGAAAAAGCGTCATGAAGCACCACTGAAATCTGCATGATTTAGACATCCAAGAAGAAGAAAGTGAAATGTAGGAACAAAAAGTAGTTTTCTCATCAAATAGTATTATCAATACTATTTGGCAATGGGCCAGCACATTGTATTAAAAACATGAAACAGTGCTGCTACACCAAGGATTAATTTGGCTCATGGGCTATTTTCACTTGTACATACACTGCTTAGGACTCAAGAAAATGCCTGCAAGTAAATGAGTAAAAGTCATCTTAGAAAACAAAGTATGCCTCTCTTGTGACCAGAGGGAAGAAATTAATGAATAGATAGATGCCTTAAACGTTGGGGAGGGACGGGGCCTGCAGAAAGGCAATCTGCATCCTCATCTTTTGAGTCATTTCTAGATCACAGGCTGGGGAATCACAAAAAGAGAATAAATCCTAGTGATTAAAGAAATCCAATGTGAAACACCACCACAAAGCACCTATAAATAAACAAGAGTAAAAAGCTGGGATTTGCCTGGAGTTTTTTGTTCTCCACTTTGAACATGCAGTTTTGGAGTACAGACATCAAAGCAAGGATATATGCAGGGCAGAGCTCATCACTCACCTCCCAACCAAGGGCAATGAAATACAAACTGGGAGGTTTTGTTCAAATGCCAAAGTGAGACAGATCTCTAGCAGTCCCCTCCTCCCACTCCAGCCCCCCGGCTTCATCCAGGGCTCAGATATATCCCCTAGCTGAAAACTCAGAAGCAGGGAAGCGGAAGTCGAAAGAAAGGAAGCTGCTGCCTGTAAGGTCTGTTTAAAAAAAAAAAAAGGAAAAAAAAGATTATGAGCAATTACACATTTACAATGCTAGTCAAAGAAGCAAATATATCTCATGCTGAAGTGGCTAGCATGAGAGTTGTGCTAGACGAGATAACTGGCAAAAAGCAGATTTCTTTCTTAAACTAAAAGCTTAGAGGCTACAATAAAACAATGCAGTTCCACCTGGTTTTAATGAATGGATTTTCCCCTCTTGCATGCTGACATACATTTGATATAGTTATTTATCCTATATATTTCTTGCGGCATATTTCCCAGGAGACCTTGTTTATCTCTCTCATAAGTATATGATGGATGTATGGTGCTTTGGATAAATGGTATCACAATCAGATATTTTTATGGATATAGGCAAACTGGGTTCTTAACAAAGGAAGGGCAGAGAGGAACCAGTACGCAAAAGAAAATAGCAAATGATTGATGACAATACATCTGAGGTTGCAAGGTGAAGACTCCAGATAACCAGCTAACAGAAGAGCAGATAAGGGCAGCGCTTGAGACAGAGCCGTTTCCTACCTCGGGGTCAATGTCACGCTGACTACCTAAACGCCCGAGTCCTTCTAGGCTGGGATTGTAGGGCAGGCAAGAACGCCCCAACAGAAGCAGCTCCGAAATCTTTGCCTTCCTTTCTAAATACAGTGCAGCGCAGGCATACACGAAGAAACAAAACATTAATCCCACCAATAAAACAAAACAAAAGATTCTTAAGAGTTTGGGGAGGGGATGTCTTTTGTTGGGGTGTTGCATCACGCTCAACACAGCGGGACTCTAAGTGCTGCACTACAAATAAGTGAAAAAACAAATGTTCATATGGTAATAATTGCCATCTTCATCTCTAGTTCTGCTGATTTACCCAAGCAGAGGGACATTTAAATAGGATATAAAGGGAGACAAATCTGGAGGCATAATTTGATCAGAAATCTGGCAGTTCTCTTGGATGCTAACTGGGCTTTCCAGTGATGAAAGCAGAAGTAGTAGTAGCTGGAAATTTGGACATGTTTCTACATCTACATGGACTTGCTGGGCAGCTTTCAAGAAAATCTCTCAGTCTTTGAGCCCATTACTTCCTCTGTAAACCTGATTTCTGTTTCACGTGTACTCACAGGCCTGGATGGCAACGGAGTACAGTAAGAGAATGGATAAAGTTACTGCATCCTTCTGTAACTTATAAGCACTGTAACCACAGCCCAGGGTTTGCAAATCCTGAGCCGCAGCCTGGACCATGAGGCTTTGTCCAGCCTTTTGGACAAATGTAAAATGTCTACACAATATGAAAAGAGAGAGAACAAAAGAATCCAAGTTGGAGACCAGTCTGATTTTCCCATTCCTGACTGAGACAGGATGATTACAACTTACCAAAAATACCATTTTGGCAGCTCCCTAAGCCTTATTTACAAGATCCAGCACACTTCACAGCAGCAATGTCTTCAAGCAGAGAGATGGAGAAAATAGAGCTTCTCCACATTTACTGAGACCATTTTTCACAAGTAAACTGCAGTATCTGTGGGCAACTGCACAGTTAGCTACCTCAACTTTTTTGCTAAGCCCATGAGCCATTTGCTCAAGTAAGGTACCAACAGTGTGTTGTTAAATGTACAGCAGTGCTGAGACGCAGGTGATGAAATAACAGAGGCAGAACTACTGCAAATTGAAAGAAGCCCATTATCTCAGGGTTAGTAAGGTTGGTATTAAGATGACACTTTTGGTCTAGGCCAAGGATATAACCTGGGATGTGAAAAGCCCATCAAAACAACAGTCTTAAGAACAGAAATGGCTTAGAGAAGTGCCAGCAGTGCAAGGCATGCCCATTTCTTGTCTGCAGCCTTCTCATGTTTTCTTACATGGGTTATTAATCTAAACCTCCACAGAAGTTAGAAACACCAGTCAACGATGGTACCAAGATTTAATATGTACCAAAATGAAACAATAAAAGCGTCAGCACAGTATTTTTATTACTCTCCAAATGATAATAAATCATTCATTAGTTAAATCAAAGCAAAAAATCACAAGGACAAGATAAAGTTAGGTCCTTTGTGGGAGGCTTGTAGAGTCTATGGGCTCAATAGTCAACCACTACTGAAATTGTGCTTCACTTAAAACTATCCTGCTGATCTTGAAGACTGTCATATCTCTCCTCTTTGCCTCCAAAAAAACCTCACAAACATCCAGTCCCAGGCACTGCCACTTCTGATCAGGGGATAGTTCAAATTCAGGTTACTACATGTGGCTCTGCTTGCAGAAGCAGGGGATAGATACACTACAGGGTTGTGCCAGACTGCTTACTACAGACGCTTCGCTTGTCAGAAGAAAGTTTCTTAGTCAGATTATTTCGATGCTTCTAAATAAGGGCAGGCACCTGCAATGCAGTACGTGTTTCCATAGGCACCCATGAGCTGTTCAAAATTGGTGATCAGGGTCCTCTGTTACAGAGCCTCTACATCGGCCCTTTAAAAAACACTAAAGAATACTATATTTACCATAAGCAGTGACCTCTTTGACCATGACCCTAAATCAACCTGTTGGCAAACCTCCATCACACAAAAGCGATAGTAGTCACATACTGCATAACGGAAATTTTTTGGCTTGGCAGCTCAAATACGTAGCCCATTATGAGTACAGAGCACTCTTCTTTTACATATGCAATGTTCTCTTCCTTTCTTAAAGCTGTCACACAGACACCTTGTCGATCAGTGTGGAGGCGGCATGAGGACGAAACTAAATGCATGTTCCATTGTTCAAATGTCAGAGAGCCGGGGTTGTTTTTGTAAGAATCACATTAAGACAACGTCAATCGGAAAGAAGAGAAATTGGTGATACCAACCCATCGTCAACAGCATTGCTAAAAACCCTTGGAAAAGTGCTTGACCTTGGAAATGCTGGAAAACAAACAACATTCACGAAAACGTTTGTACTGGTTGCATCATTTTCCTGGAGCAAAGTTATCGCTAGTTATTTTACAGCATGCTCCCACCAAATGTCTGTGCAAAAATTAGTAACCACTCACAAAGCACTGGGAGACAAGGCCCTGGACCAAAGTCACCCAGGTTAGCCCTGAAACCGTGCAGAGTGTTCCGAGTTTCTCTTTTGTTCGAGATGGATTTTGATGCATGACTTCAGAGCCCAGAGACAGTGACAAAGGGCACGCCATTCATTTGGCTTTGGCTTGTTTCACAGCAAAGTCTTTCTATCTCAGATGCCCTAAACCTGACTAGACTAGCAATGTATCTGCTGAAATACAGGTTTTCATGGAATCAAACAGATGAACCAGAGCCAGCTTTTGGGAGAGGCAAAAGGGAGAAGGGGAGAAGATTCGAGGGGTGCATAATTATCTTCATTCCAAAACGTTCTATGTATTCTGCTCATGCCAACGAGCTGCATAAAAGCTTGCTGCTCATCCTGCTCCCATGGAGGCTCCTGGACTCCTGGGGTGACAGCTGCTGTTCAGGGTTCATGACTTTCCTGTAAGCACAGTCATCTCTCCTACCCTTCAATATCCCCAAGCAGCAGAAGGAGCAGCAGCTGCTTTCCAGTTCCCCGCCACAGCGGCATCCGTCTCCCCTTCCCTCTTCTTTCCAAGAAACAAGCATATCAGTGTATCAGAGTGCATCAGGGTGTACCCGACACTCTAAGTGTATCTGCTCTACTTTAGAAATCTGCAGGAGGAAGCTCATCTCTGCAATAAGAATACTACTGCTGTATAGGCCAACAATATCTTGGTTTCACCAGAATATTCTCCACAGCTCGCTTTTTGCTCCTGCAAGACAATCTCTAATATGACAGACAATTTATGTCAAATAAAAAAATGGGAAACTGGGGTAGTGAGGTACAGCTGCTTTAAATGTCACATTAGATACTATTGCGCTCATCGAGATTTAGACTTTAATATGCTGTATTTTGCTCCACATGACACAGCTGTCTTCACAGAAGCTGCGTATTAGCCCACATTCTGGTGCATGAAGATCAAACAGTCTTTTCTTATCGCAAAGGAACCTTCAGAAACAAAAGATTAAAACTTATAATCATACAGCTACCAAATAAGGCAGGAGATGAAGCTTGTCTCAATTAACCCATTGCAATAAAGTCAAAATACTAAGAACGGTAAGCATATTCAATCCTATGGGACAATTGCAAATCATGTCCAACAGACATGATTCATAACATACACCCAGGTCCCGATGACTTCTGAATTTTTTCTGACATCAGTGCACTTAGGATGAGACCCACAAGCAGAGCTAAGCTAACTTAGTAAGCCAGTCAGTTAACGTCTTTCCTCTCAATTAGTAAATTGCTCATCTCTTTTGTGCAAGTTCCTCATAATTTCCTCTAGCAACTAACTGTCTCAACATCTGGCCCTGAGCATGATGAACCACCATTTCGCGGTGCAGGGTTGTTGCACTGTCGTCTCCTTGATCGCTGACCTCCTGAACACGCAGACCAGCTGGCCCAGCAGCCCCAGTTCCCATTAACAGCAGCATCTGGGAAAAAAACAAAGCCAGAAAGGATTGTCAGAATAAAGCATTTCTTTCCAGAGGAAGAGCTGTCAGCTTCCATGAATCATATTTAAATGCAAACAGATATGCCCCATCCACACCACTAACAATATACTTGAGTCATTAACAGTGAATGATTGTTTTAAAGATGTTGATTCCCTGTTCAGCTTTTCTGGCGTATGTTCAAACTACACTTTATACAGCAGAGACAAGGAAAAAATATCAATTAGTTTTAAATTTGCTTACAGTCCATTTCTCCTCCTAACCATTTCAAGTCTGTGTAAGAAAAAGAGCAACAAAATTTGTGTCAGCCACATTTTGAGGTGCTAGGGGAAATGTTAGCATGTTCTTGTTGAATGAACAACAGCTTGAATATTCAGCTTTCTATCCATTGCTTTTCCTATTACACTGTTTTCTTCTGGACTCTGAGCATGTGAGTGACAGAAATTCTGAGAATTACAGAGCCAAATGCAGAGGCAATGCATAAAAAAGGAGGGGGGAGTGAAAAAGGAAGTTCCATGTTGACAAGTGGATGGATGTGAGTCTCTGGGAAGGTCGCATGCGATAACACGTGTGGGAAGCAGACTGAAACAAGGTGCAAGTGCAGTTTAAGACTCCATAGACTTGCTTAGAAATACCTATGAAATTGACCCTCTGCTCTGTGAAATCTTGGCTTAAAATGTATTTCAGCCAGGCTCGGAAAGGACACAGTCATGCAGAATGAAACCTGGATAAGAGATGGTAACAAAGGGCAACGATAAACGCAGTGCATCAAACTGTGGGATGGTGCCAGAGCTCTGGATGCCTGAGAACTGGTCTTATTTAGCATCTAAATTAATGATCTAGAAGAAGTAAACAGCAAAGTGATTAAATTCACAGATTATACTACCAGGAGTTAAGAACATCAGTCAGGAGAGAGAAACAACACAAAGGGGCCAGGAAACATTAGTAAATGCTTCAAAACAACATAATAAGATTTTAAGATTAAAATGCATGGTAGCATACCTGAGGAAAAACAACTTGCAACATACTGGCTGTATCAAAGGGAAAAACTTAAGCAACTGAGCTGTTGGAGGAGACCTGAGGCTCATCCTGGACTATAAATTAGGTAGGACTTCATAGTTTGATATATTTGCAAGGAAGGCTTGCGCAGCTTTGAACTGCCAAAGTAAAGCCACGTCTTTCTGAGCGCAAAGAAGCATTAGACTTTGGTGCTAAACTCCCTATCCAGTGCATTAAGCTCCAGAGGTCATAGCCAACTAGTCCATCTTAGGACTACGCTCTCAGCTCGGAGTCAGTCCTCAGACTACCTCCTCTCACTATCTACTCACAACCTTTCCCTCATCACCAGCCTCTGCCTGAGCTTCCTAGAAGAGGAAAGCCAAAGCATATTTGTCCATTTGCAGGAGCCTAACCTCATGGGCTGGGCAGACTGCAGATAGCCAGCCCTGGGCATATTTCTCCCCATCCATCAGCCAACATAGCCAACATCCCCAGGCAGCTCTGTTGACATCACTCCTAGAAACAACTGTACCCAAGTTAGAGCTGGCTGCACAGACGAAGACCTTACAGTACTTCCTTGTCCTCTCTCCTGTCTGCTTTGCACTTTGCAACCCAGACAAGGCCTTCCTGCCAAAGCAGAGGGGCTTCAGCGAGCTACGTCACCCTGAGAGGGGCTGTAAGGATTCGGAAGAGAGGGAAGAGGTACTTTGTGCACGTGCAGGTGTGCCTGTGCTCACCAAACAGCGATGGTGCTGAAAGACTCTGTGGCTATAGGTGCTCACAAATGGTTAAGCAGAGAGGCAGAGAGCGTTTCCATCCTTGCCTCGCCAGCACCAGGGAATGAACCCTCTAGGGAAGGGGACAGACTTACTGACTCTGTATGGCACCCTGAGTCAGCAGCAAATCCCTTAACATTAGAGATAAAGGATCCGGTCTATGTGTTTGACTTTCCCTTGACCCAAAAGCTGTTCTTGCCCTGGGCCACGATGGCACGGTAATATCAGCGTGAGGGGAGACACGGGCTCACAGTACGAGCCACTTCCTTGTCCCCTTTATCAGGATCACTCTCCCACTTCTTTCCTTGGTCTTTAAATCCTTCTTACCTTCCCTCTTGGTGATCTCGCAGGCAGTGCCACTATAGCCAAGGGGACATAAACATTTGCACTCACTTCCTGAAAGCAAGCAGAGATGGTGGGATGACAGACCATTTCAAGCCACGTTTCCCTACAGACATCCATTTCTTTTCAGTGTTTCATCTTCTGTGAGGAAGGAACAGTGGGCGAAATTACCTCAGCCTTTTTCTCCAGTGGTAAAAGTATAAAACAGCAATAAAGCAGTGAAACTGTGAATACCGTGATGCCCCTCTTGCCTTTCCAGCCATTTGTTCCAGGCTCTGTACTGCAGTTCAACAGTCCCCCAGCTACAGCGATGCACTAATTCAGCAATCCAGCTTATCACAAAGTCCCCCTCTCCCTCTCTAAAGAGTTTTTTTGGTAGAGCTGAGAGGGGAGCAAACTGTTAGCTGTGCCAAGAATGAGCACCCAGGACAGACACTTTTCAATTAGCTTTTCTGCCAGAGGAAGAGTTTGCAGGACTCCACTACAGCTTTTCAGGACTGGTCTGTGCGGGACTCCAGACCAGAGCTTCCACTTACTAACAATAACGGTCATTTAAAACCTCTTGTTGAGAAGATCCTAAATGAAATGCTAACATGAGTCAAATCCTGACAAAGTTATTTAAACAAGCGTAATCATGAGAGGAATCCTTTAAGTGCTACAATCAACTAGCTGGTACCTGAAGCAGTCGTTTCTGCATTAGATTCATTTAGATGATAGAGACTCTCATCAGGACTTTCGCAAATGCAGACTGGAATTAGGCACTTGAAAAAATGGTCCTTTTGTTAGCCGCTCATCACAGCCGCTCATCTATCGCTGTTTAGGCACTGTGGTTTTGATTCAATTTAATTATTTTTCTCCTTCATTTTTAAATCACAGTCTGCTTCCAAAGGAGGGCAGCTTCTATTAGAAATGGGGGGAGGTGATGGTAATAACAGTGCTTGGCACTTAGATAGAGCTTTTCATCTTCAAAACACTTTTACAAACACTAATTGATGTTGAGGCAGTAGTAACTTCTCTAGGAAGATGGAAGCCGTCTTAAAAGCAAAGGAGGAGATATAAAGATGTCAACTTTTTAAATGCATAATTGAGATAGGAACAAATTCTTTCTCAAAACTGATACAGATGATCACTCCTACTAAAAAGGTACAGCCCTTGACTTTCTTGTCTTTACTAAAGAGTGGCACTCCACGAAGAAAGTGACTTAAAAACTCCTTTTTTTCATCATCTGAAATAGGAATAATAGGAGAGAGTAAAGAGCAGCTTACTAGCTAAGCTTCCTTCCTCCTCACAAATTCTCTGCTCATTTCTCTTAGAGGGTAGACGAGAGGTGCAAAATCCTTCTACCTTTCAAAATGGGCATTCCATTGCCGCGACACGGAGCACAGCGACAGGAACTGGTCTCCAGCTGAAACTCCTCAAGAGCACGTTGCATATTTTCTTTTATTGCCATTGCATTAGCAAAGTCAGTTGGAGTCACCAGCTGATACAGCGGCTGTGCCTAAAGGGAGGGAAGAAACTGCATTCATTTCCAAGTTCAACACGGTGCGGGTGTCGCACAGCTCTGTGGGAGCACAGCTGGTGAGGGAAATGACAGCCTTGTGGTACGTGCACCAGGTTTCCCATTAGTCTCTGCTTAAAGCTAGTAAACAAGGCAGCAATATCAGGAACTCTTTCAGGGACCCTCCCGTCGGTTTACTATATCAAAGAAATTTCAAATGCATAATGAAATACAACAGCCATAGAGCTAGCTGAAAAACAGGGCAAAATTTCACAGAAGCTTCATTAAATGCTTTCCCATCCATTTTTCCTGATTTGGAAATTTTAGACCAGATTTGACCAAACGTACTTTTAATGAGTGCTCCCTTACTCCAACTTAAAAAGGATCCCCAAAACCCACCCGCAAAACGTTCCTTCGGGCCTTAGATGGCTGCACAGAAGGGTCAGATGCATATAGTCGTGGGCATTCATATTTTCACTTTCAGCTTAACTACTTCTGTATTTCAAGGCTGATTTCTTTTTTTACGAAGCCAAGGAAGGGTTTCCACTTCCTTCGAACGGGAGTGCATCATGATCTTCATCTATAAATATCACAGACAGGCTTGGAGGTCTTTGCACTGGTTGAAGATAACAGGAAGCACAATGCAGTGGACGTGCAGTAGAAACTAAGGAGACTTTGGCCTCCTAATTTTTTTTCCCAAGAACAAAAAAAAAGCTGAAGTGTGGCCTATAAGTTGGCATGCATCCATTAACGTGGGTGAGAGAACATTGGCATGTATCATTAGAGGATTCATCCCAAGTTCCCATCCTTGCTATACAGCTAGTTAGATAACAGATGTGCTATACAGGCCACCAGAATACAGTAAGCAGGAAAGGTAACAGTACTGCTATTACAGTCTCAAGCTACTAGAAATAGAAGAATATTTTAAGAAAAAAACCCACTCATTTCCTGTTGCTCTGCATTCGCTCTTCATCAATTACCTGTGATCCATACTTTGGCTTTTTGCATTCAGATCATACAAATAAGGAAATACTTTAAGATTGACCTGCCAAGTCCTCTCAGCAGATGATTTATGAACTGATTTGCTTTAGTTTTCCCTAACTAAGCATTCTTGGGCTGACATTTAGTCACACTCTGCTGATGGTTTTGATCTTCAAGCCCCACAGGGATATCAGTATGGAAATGAAAGATTATAGATAGCAAATCCAAACTGCATCAGTCTGTGGTTTTCAATGGACAGCGGGATCACAGATGTCAGGCTAGATACCAAAGGGCAAGAGAAGGAAGAACGTCGCAATTTGTTGTGTGAGAATTTTCTGCTAGCAGGATCTTGTGTGGAAGATTGCACTTCTGTTTTCTCCAGCTGAGAGACCTCACTGTGCATTTGAGGAACATCTATCCACAGTGCACCAGGGGTTTGGGAAACCACATCTGCTGAAGCAAGAGCCAGATGGGCACTGGCAGTATTTCCAAACTGCAGGGTTTTGCTTTTCTTGTAACTTCTTAGAATTCATCTCTTCTTTTTTAATGACATTAAAAAATTTTCAAGGAAAAGCAAATATCTTTTACAACTACAAATGTTTTTGTCTAAAATTAAATTTTATAATAAAACCAACTGTAAAATAATAACAAAATCAATTTCCACCACTACCTGTTCGAACTCAAGTTTTAAAAGGATGTTCTCTTTACCTTTGTATTATTCACTCAAAATTAGAGCAAACTTACTTTGACACTGAAAACAATGAGGCAGAATTGCTGCATACTTCCATTCGCTTTTTACTTTTACAGTGCTTTGTATTTGTAAACCTGTTCAGGATCAAAAAACTCTGACTCTTCAAAACCAACATCATATTTTTAAGGTTTAGCTAAGGTGTGCAAACATCCAGGCATTTGCAGTGAACTTCTTGACATTCTGAATCAAAGACAATTGTTGATAAATAGTCCCTGGTAAATATTCAAAGACGACAGGAGAAATTTGAAGAAAAGGAGGTCCTCATATTAAACTCTACTACTTACGCTAACAGCTATCTTTTTGGTAAGTGATACATTGGTAGAGAAGAAAAGTGGATAGTCCGACTTGCTTGGTAGGCAACAAGTGATTATATCTGCACGGACAGATTAGAAAGGGGAAAAAATCTCTTTACTTCACTTACTTTCAATTGCACCATCCCTTTTAATCCAGCAAAACTCAGATCTTCCAAATAGCCGTTCTTAGAGGCACCATGTTACACAATACAGTTCCAATAACTGCCTTAGAAATTGCCCTGTTTTTTTTAAAATCCCATTTATGTGAACATATACTTCTCCAAGGCACTCAGCTAAGCGAGGCTGAATGAACTGATGGATACAGTACCTTTAGCTTTATGATTTCAGGGTTGTACTGTACAGCATCTCCCCATTCCTGCATTAGCGCAGCAGTCGGCAAGTCTTTGTAAGCCAATGTGGTAATGTATTCACTTGCTCCTCCACGAACAAGGGCAATGAAATCTTCCACATACTGTTTTTTGAAGGTGCTGTCTGCAAACATGCATTCAGAAAATTGGCCAATTCTGCTTGGATGTTTCTTTGTGGTTTGCAAATACAGTATAAACTAACAGCAAAACACCCCTGTAAATGACCCAACCCACTGAGAGAAAACAGGAGAAAGGCCACAAGTGTGTCACATACTTGTGGCCAAATAAACTGCCAGGTGCACTTCAAGCAAAATTTTCCCTGCCTTTACAAACAAGCAGGGTTCGCTCCTATTGGAGTCTGGCTGGAAGAAGGGCTGTGGTATTCAGGCTGCAGTTTTTCTGTCTTTCATTTATTATAATGTCAAAAGAAACATTAAACAGACTAACTCAAAGCCTGTAAGACTCTTAGATCACCATAAGGTAATCAGATGAGGAGATAATGGATCAGGATCTTTCTGTGTGGTTACACTCAAAAAGCACTTGGAAACTCCAGCTAGTGCAGGCTGCAACAGCCCGAGCGATGGGCCTGCGCCTGCTCCCACTGCAGCCAGGGGTTAAAGTTCTGTTTACTTCAGTGGGGTGGGATCAAATTCCATTAACACAAGAAGCTCGTTTCATGAGGACGATTATTTCATTTGAGAAATGGAAGATAAAATGTCATAACATAAAGAACAAATTGCTCTTACAAGCTGCAGAACCACTGCCACCTGGTTTCCTGCGATCTGTGTCCTGCACCCCTCATACTCGCTTGCAGCAATAACCCCACCCTCTCCTCTCACATATCCTGTCTCTCCTCACCAATTTCTTCCCTATGGCAGCTACTTGCAATGCCGAGGGTCACTCCGCAGTGCAAAGTTCATCATCACCATTAATATTGCCAGCTCTCCTCCGCATATCTTCAGCTGCCCCCTCCCGCCGCTGCAATGCTCCCAGCTTCCGGCCTTGGCCCTAGAGGGCTTCCCACAACACCAGCACCTCCCTGTATGCTAGCTACTTCCCTTCATTTGGGCTGTTACAGTGCAAAAAGCAGCACATTGGTGTGTGCATTGGACACTCAGCCCAAACCAGACAGGTAACAGTTGATTTGCCCCTGCTTTTCTCTAGGAAGAAGGAGGGGACACTGAGAAGAACTTTCTTCTCTACCCAACAAAGAAAACTTTGCAAGAAAACAATAGCTTTGAGACATGTACCCCTCTGTTAAACTTGGCTGAGGCTGGCCAACAGATTCAAAAGCCCCTGTGAGGGCGTGGGGCAGTCTTTCAGGTAGGCAAGATCACAAAATCCTCCTTTCACTATGACAAAGGCTAGAAGGAAAATCTTAGAAGCGTTTCATGCTTACCTCCAATTTCTTTTAAAAGGGATTTACAGGTGCCATCAGTCACTCCCAAACTCACAGTGATGCCTTTGATAGTTGCACCAATGTTAAAGCCATGCTGTGCACATTTCTGGACATCGCTCAGGGAATAACCTTAAATGCATACCAAAACATAGAAGTGTTATAAATAAAACCATTCTATTTTCAGAATCTTTTATTATTTTTATCTCAGCATCCCCAGAAAATATAAGTTGCTAAATATTTTTTCTTCAGGAAAAAGGAAATGAGATGAAGAAACCTTCACTGGGATATTTACCACATCTACATGAAATGAAACGACACTCCACATTTCACAGAACTGCAAAATCAAGTGCAAACACAAGCTAACTGCTGAAAGAGGAGGCTTTTAATGACCAGAGTAGCTGTACCCGGTTATATGAAGTTACAATAGCTAGGAATCTGTTCTTTGACTTAAAGGTCAAACATCTTCAGCAAAGGATCATGTATCACCCATCCCCACAGACAGGACCCCAGCTTTTAAACCGTAATAGGTCAAGTAACCTACCTTCCCTTTGCAAGCCCAGATCTCCAGTCCTTTGCTACCAGAAGAATGTCAGTTGCTTCATGGAAGCTTTTCCATGCAGCTATACTGTGATTTTTTTTCCTTACAAACAAGCATTACCCCTAAAAATCTGCAAATCTATCACATTATCCTCCAAAGTCCTTCCTCAAACTCCTTGCTGTCTGACATTCAAGAATATTTAGGTAGTTATCATGGTAAATACCAGACAGATCACTTCTCCTTTTCTGCTTTTTTTGTGCTAATCCCCTTGGTTTTCCTCAGTTCTTTGCATTTTAACACGATGGAGTTAAACCCACTTCTAGATCACACGGATACAAAAGTTTACATGAATTCACAATGCAAGCATCACTATATGGTTAACCTGCTCTTACGCTGTTCCCTCACATCTGATAACGTCCAGTTTTTGAAACACAAAAGAGGGTTTATTGAGTTTTGGACTGACCCAGTATGGTCTTTCTTAATGTTCTTAGTCCGTATGTACTCGAAGGCAGGAATCGCTCTTTGATTATATCCCCACACAGCACCTAGCACAACCCACACCTCTCTACGGCCCACTATCCCACAGAAGGCATCAAATTATGTGACACAGACACATCTGGCATATTGGATTATATGACAGAGCAGTACAAGTACCAACCATGGAACACAGCGTATGATACTAGATCTGTAAAAGACGACTTGATTTCCAGTGGTGCTGGAGCACAGACAGTACAGTCGTAACGAGGGCTTCAGAGGGCGAAGCCTGAAATCTGTCTGGAGCTATCAAATGGATGTGAGAACTTATAGCCTTACAGCCTGGCAAGATTTTGTGATCTTGCCTACCTGAAAGACTGCCAAAACTGTGGATAGCTGAAAATGTTGGTAACACTGAAGGATCCAGATCTAGGTCGGCAGATACTTTTAGACAGTATTTTGATACAAACAAAAATGTACATTATTTCACATGTGCAACTGAATATTACTTGTAGTGGGCCCCAGTAACATCTGAGAAATTGGGCAGTGCTACTGTTTTGAATATCTGAAATACAAATCTAAGTTCTCTCCCTCTGGGCTGTATTTGACTATAGATTAACCTAGCAACTTCCTAGACAGCAGAAGAGCAAACAGACTGACTGCAACACAGCAGAGTCCACTAAATGCTTTTGCAAATAGGCAGCCGAGGCAGTTACTCCCATGCCAATGAATAAATAAGAGAGTGCAGCTATTGATTAATGTCGCACAGCTCTCTCTATGCTACAACAATCGTCATTTCTTGAAAAAAGGAAGCCAGAGTCAAAGAGCAAGAGCAATGCCAGACTTAAAAGAGTCGCCCAGCAAATTATTTACTGCTTCCTACGTTCTGGAAAAGCTCTGGAAGCTAAAGGTGTTTCAAAACTGTCATTTCAAGGGCACTGGAAAAAAAACTTGGATGAACATTTTCAAAGCTAAGAAAAGAGTTAAGCTAAGCGATTCTCATTCATCTGCAGATCTTGCCAGCTTCCAAGAAGCACCGTAGAAAATACTCGCTACTGGGCCCTTTTTCTGAACTGACAGCACCCACAGCTTGAGAGCTAGATGAAGCCCATGATGCTGAGCGTGCTTTGAAAACCAGGCTCTTTATTTGCAGCCATAAAATATTCTTCCTCCCATATTTCCTGCAGGCTTTCTTTGAAACGTTGTGGACTTCTTCCACCTTCTCTCTTTCCTGTCCTCTCATCTGAATCAACACTGGGTGCCTGCAGAAGGGTGTTCACCCAGAAAGGCTGGATCTGGCCCCAAAGCTTTTTCACAAGTATCAGATGCACATACCTGCTTTTTGGAGCTCGTTACTATTCAGAACTAAAGTATATTCGTAGATGCCACCAAGAGTAGCTTCAGTGATGTAATGGGTCCCGTAGTCCCTGTAGAGCTCTCTGTACTCGCCGTAGCTGTACTCTGAGGGTAGCTGATGGAGCCGCTGCATGAATTCGTAATGCAGCATCAGGGCCCGGGGCTTCAGTTTATAAATGGCAACATCCAGCTCAGAACGGGCATGAATAAATTTACTGGACTACGCGAGATGCAGACACAAAAGAGAATCCAAAGGAGATAAGGGCTGTAATTCTCTTGACAAAGTGTAATTCTTTGCCATTAAACACTTATGCTGGTCAGGATTTATCAATTTAACAGATTTATCAGTTTAACAATTTATGACTGGAATTATTTTAATCTAGCAAAAAAAAAAAAAAAACAACCAACAAAACATTTAGTAGTCAAGTTTCTGAGGACCAGGACAGATATGCAGGCTATTAGAGAGAGGAGAAGGAAGAGGAAGGGACACCCATTGCA